GCTGCGCGCATTCAGCGTTGGGCCATCATACTTGGTGCCTACCGTTATCGGTTGCAACATCGACCGGGTAAACTCATGTGCAATGCTGATGCTCTTAGCCGTCTACCCCAACCGTTGCAGGAAGAAGTGGACCAGGAGGACGAAGCTCAAGTTCTGACCCTGGACCAGTGGGATCAGCCGGCCCTGCCATGGAAGGAACTCCAGGCACTCGCCGTCGCGGATGAGGTACTTTTCCAGGTACGCAAGTATACCCGGGAAGGTTGGCCGAAAAAACTCGACACGGAAACTACAGAAATCGCCGATTTTTACAAAAGGCGGCATGAGCTGTCTGTTAGTGAAGAACTTCTTTACTGGGGCCATCGCTTTGTAGTGCCGACAGCAGCACGCGGGAAGTTGCTAAGGCTACTGCATGAAGCCCACCAAGGAATTTCCACCATGAAGGCGAAGGCCAGATCGTTATTTTGGTGGCCCGGCGTAGAGCAAGACATCGAGCGCGTTGCGGCGACATGCCAAAACTGTGTGCAAGCGTTGCCGATGGCTCAGGCAAAAGAACCAGTAAATTGGCCCAAGACGCACGAAAGGTGGTCGCGGTTACATGTGGACTATGCGGGACCAGTAAAAGGGAAAATGTTACTCATCGTTGTCGACGCGCACACCAAGTGGATTGAGGCGCTTCCCGTGTCGCAGGCCAACTCGCATAGCACAGTCGAGGCCCTCAGAACGATATTTAGCCGTTTTGGTATACCGCGCACGGTGGTTTCTGACAACGGGACGCCATTCACGGCACGAGAGTTCGAGCAGTTCATGGAGCGCAATGGCATTGCGCATATTCGAACACCTCCCTATCACCCCCAAAGTAATGGACTAGCAGAGCGAGCCGTGCGCACTATCAAAGATGGCTTGAAGAAGATAGGCGGCACTTGCCTCCTCACCTCACTGGCACGTGTATTGTGCAATTATCGGAACGCACCACACCAGGAGGGTCCTTCTCCCTCAGAGAGGCTATTAGGATACCGTCTGCGCACAAGAATGGAGATGTCTTTTCCTTCCAGAGTCTATCCTGCCAAAGCTGCGAGTGACCCAGGCTGGAATTTCGCACCGGGAGACTACGTGTACGTGCGAAATTACGGCGCCGGAGACAAGTGGTTCCCAGGCACAGTGGAGGCTACGCGTGGCACTCGCCTCCTGGAGGTAAAGACTGTGGATGGCCTTGTCCGCCGCCACGTGGATCAAGTTCGCAAGCGGAGCCCAGATGAAACGCCAGCAGCCGACGACATGTCGAGGCCATCTACACCGGTTTCCCCAGGGCCGGTACGACTAGAAACAACGGCGCCGGCTACCTCTCAGAGTACCCCAGAATCGCAACCATACGTACTACGTCACTCCGCACGAGCCAAGAAACCGGTCGTGCGTTTTGGCTACTAAGGGGGAAGAAATGCTGTAACCCATTGAACGACGCGACCCAAGCTCTCAAGTGCGCATGTGCACAATCTTATCCCCCTTCCCTCTCCCCCTTACTTTCCTATATATATTCACGAGTGTGAATAAAACTGGCGGTTCTTTTCTGTTGGCATGGTCCGACTGTCACGTTTACTGCTGGAGCGGCGTGGCCGCCTCCCAACCAACAATTACTGACTGCGTCGTCCTCATTTAGGTCGACCCTCTGCAAATCTGCAGGTTTCTGCTCGGTAGACAAGTAACAGTAGGAGGCAAGTGGTATATTCTTCACTTTTGAGGGATATGGCTGAACTACAATTCATGAATTCAAGATGGTCTGAATGTGATCCAGCGCATTCTTATTCTCCCAGTTGTTTCACTCTTATTACTCGGTTCCGCAGTTACTACTTGTTCAAAATAAAGGTGTTGATCTTCCACTTCCAGTGTCTATCTGTCTATTGCAGAGCTTTAGTCTCTCAAAAGACTGGTGCACATTACTTTGGAATAATGCATGTGAGTTTTCACACCTACTGTGCTGCTTTGCCTCCACAATTCAGTAATCATGAAGTGTAATTGATCCCCAGAGTTACCATTAATACAACATGGCCACATCGTATTTAATGTTCGTATGGTGATCTCCATTATTTCCTATTTTTTACTCTTTCCATTCTTGGGCCCTGAAAGCCACCTGGAAACACGCTGTATATTACACTGGGGAGATCGCGTCTACCTGCTTCACACCTTGTTTATTGCAAATCTATCCTTTTGTTTGAGTGATTAGACTCTAATGCTGTAAAAATTCTATTACCTATTATTTGTGTAAATCTCTTGTAGATAACCAAGAGTAGACAGATTGGCCTATAATTTTCGAAGTTCTGGATGTCATCTTTTTTATATGGATTAAGATGCTGTTACCAATACTTTAACATTCTCGTACTTCACCGTCAGAGATTTGTCGAATACGGGGGGCCAGTTGTTCTAATGCAATCTGTCCACTATCTTTCAACAGATCTGTTATTACCTGATCGTGACCAAACGCCTTGGCTCTTTGCATATCCTCAAATGTATTCGCCGTTTCCAGTGACATCACTGGTGGGATGTCCACTTCCTCTGGGCTGCTACTACCTCCTATATTATCATCCTTGTTCCGGTTACTGTACAAACCTCTTTAAAACTCCTCAACTTCTTCAACTGTCCTATTCATTATTTTAGTTATTCACGTTACATTTTGTTATTTTAACGAATGTATGTTTATACTAAAGTGAGTTCACGTGCTCTTCATACATACCAAAGTTATTCATTAAACGCTCACACACAAATTCGCTCACTTCCTGTATCCTTGATGAACAGTTTGTTAACATTACACTTTGCCTAATTAGCCTTATTATACGATAATTACTATAGATATTGACATTTCTATTCTTTGAGTCACTTTTGAGTAATGTTATTTAGGTTAATTGAGTTGACATTCACTCTGGATGGCACTCCAGATAACTGCCATCAATAGATTTATAGTGCACGTTACGAGACATTTGCTACTCTTCGAGAACGCTGAGTCACTGAGTACTGCTTGTTCCTGGCTGAAAGCCTGCATGTGGATGAATTGATCAGTAGTTGCTGCTTAGTCCAACGAAAACGTGCATCCATTTATCGAAGATTACTGCAACGTCCAACATTTTATTGCGAGAGCCCACGTCTTGTGATTCACCCAACTTTGTCTACACATCAGTGACATTTTGCTGTAGCTCTCCGACGCTACATTTCTTCGTCCTTCTGCACATGCTTCTCTCTTTCCTTGAATGAAGTTTTTATTACTCACATAGGTGTACATTATGACAGGTAGATTGCCACTATCCCTCAAGTGGAAGGTATATAACAGCTGTATCTTGCCGATAGTTAGCTACGGAGCAGAAACCTGGAGACTTACAAAGAGGGTACGGCTTAAATTGAGGACGACGCAGAGAGCAATGGAAAGAAAAAATGGTAGGTGTAACCTTCAGAGACAAGAAGAGAGCAGAGTGGATTAGGGAACAAACGGGGGTCAAAGATATCTTATCTGAAATCAAGAAGAAGAAATGGACATGGGCCGGGAATGTAGCACGTAGACAGGATAACCGCTGTTCGTTAAGGGTAACCAACTGGATTCCCAGAGAAGGCAAGCGGGTTAGGGGGAGACAGAAAGTTAGGTGGGCAGATGAGATTAAGAAGTTTGCAGGTATAAATTGGCAGCAGCAAGCACAGGACCGGGTTAACTGGCGGAATATGGTGAGGCCTTTGTCCTGCAGTGAGCGTAGTCAGCCTGATGATGATGATGATGATGATGATGATGATGATAATGATGGTGATGATGCTAGAGGTGCTCTATACTTACTGCTTATAAATCCAGGGCGCGTCGGGTCATTTCCAACTCCCACATGTATTATGCGACATCGCCACTGTGGGGTCACGAGACATTTTACCCGGCTATCATAAGGCTACAAAGAGATTCTGTATATACTCCTCAAAAGATTAAAATAAGTACCTGCACGTAACTCGAGACACAACTTTTCATTTTCGCTTAAGATGTGGCAGCAAAGTACTGCCGCGGGACTGCCGCAGGACTGGGTTTAATGACTGGGTCGCAGGACTGGGTTTTAGTTAACGCGCACGCTGCGATCCCCATTAGCAGCCATTGGCATGTACATTGAGCATTGTCTGACAAGAAAGGGTTGCTACGTTATACTCGCTAAGTGTAACCTCCTAAGTTTTAGAAAGGTTTAGCGAGAGTTGAGCCGCAGTGCCATGAATACAATGAACTAGTATATACCATGAACTCGAGGTGGTTGAAGTTGGGAAGTAGATACGAAGCGCAAGCCGTAAGAAAGTAAAAGCCGAATTCTCCTGCCTCTCATTTCCCATTAGCAGCTATTGGCATGTACATTGAGCACTATCTGACAGGAAAAAATTGCTACGTTATACTCGCTGGGCGTAGCCTCCTTGGTTTTAGAAAGGTTTAGCGAGCGTTGGGAGGCAGTGTCATGAATACAGTGAACTAGTATATACCATGAACTCGAGGCTGGTAAAGGTGGGAAGTAGATCCGAAGCGCAAGCCTTATGAAAGTGTGCGTGTGCCACCTCTCGTTTGGTCCTTGGAATGTCCGCTGCATATCGATGCTACTATACGAAAAATATATGACGAAAAGATGCGAGATGATGGTACTAGGAGTGTTGAATAGATTGGCGTACGGACACACAGGACAGATGCATGGATGGACGCATGAACGGATGCAGGGGTCGGATTCATGGACGAACGCAGGGACGAAAGCACGAACAGGACGCATGCACGGACGGGCGGATGGACGCATGGACCGTTACACAGACTGGACGATTGGACGGACGGAAGCAAGAACGAATGGGGGACGACGAATGCTTAACCCCACTCTCCATCATGACTTCGTGGATATGCTGCCATTTTTTTCCTATGGCATGCTGAAAGTTTACATGAATAAATCCCTCATATTGAAACCACGATAAAAGAGACGAAGAAAAAATATACAAGCGAAAAGGCCAATGTGAATGCTTACTCAATCGATACTGTCGTAGATCTCGTCGAAGTGCAGAACACCACAAGAGTCATTTTCAAGTATATGTAACAGCCACTTTTCATCTCGATCACCTGCATACGCAACTGGAAGACTTAATTAGATGTGGTGTATAATTTACGAGATGTTAGCACAAGGACGATGAAATTAACAGTCATCGACTAAGTCACTTTAACACGAAAGTGTTCGATGCCTGTGTCCACCAAGATTTCAGGGGTGAACTTCCGTTCATATTAACATTACCAAATGGGCAAGAAAACAGACTAATTGAAAAAATTATGAACCATCTTCTCAGAGGGAATGCTGATGGGATGCGAAGCAGCAGCGGTGCCACGGCGTTGACCCGGCTTAAAGGGCGCCGACGTGGGTGCTGGAGGAACTATTAGAAGTGAAACCCGGTGTGCCGTTTACTCGAGTATACGTTTGTTTGCAACGCAAAAATAAGGCAGGCGGGTGGGGTTTCGTGTAAGCGTTATTGCAGATAAACGAGCCGAGTGAGTGTCCTAGCTGTCTAGCATTATGGTCGGTGGAGAGGGATAAGCGAGAAATATTTGTTGCGAGCCGGTGGAGGAGCCGGCAGCTGTAGGCTTCGCGGTAAGCGTGCTGCGGGTGAGGGAGAGAGTGACGTCAGTGTGCACCTGCGAGGGAAGCGTGACATCAACGCGCAGCTGTGGCGTGACCTACTTGGCATCGCTCCAAAACTTGTGTCGAGGGAACACTTTGCTGTGCGTTCGTACGGACGCACGTATGTACCACGTTACACGCATAAGTCAAAGAGCTGGTTCGCATCTATAACCCTATTGAAACGATCTGTATGCGATGTCCAATAATTCCGTATGTTTCCGTAAGACTCTTACGGAAATATATGAAAAATATATAGGAAACATGTATTCTTACGGAAACATACGGGACTACTCGACATCGCATACAGGGCGTCGAGCCCCGGAATTCTGGGGATAAACGAAAAGTGCTCGCAGCTCTATCGACTGACCTGTTGTGGCAGTTGCTGGAGCCTGTGCAAACGTGCCTTATATCCTTCACAGATTCTGTCTGACTCTGTGAACTTAGTTGGCGATGACGGACGGTGCTGCACTCAAGGCAAAATTGCCCGAAAAAGAGTAACGGAGCCCAATAGGCGCGCGCAATGGACGGATAGACCGTTGAGGAGCAACCACAGAGGGAAGCGTGCCGCATGAGGCCACTTAGTCTCCAAACACGCTCCAAAGAGATGAACCGCCCGGGGATTGCGGGCAGCGCGAAAAGCGTTGCCAAGGTGACCAGCCCTCCTTCTCCACCTCTGCTGGCTCAGTCTTTCCCTGTACTTTGCCGGCGACGGTTCGCGTTGTGTCGCGCTCGGAGTGCTCGACCACGGCCGCCTGCATTCGACGATCTAAGACATACGAAGTGGTGCTTGTGTGTACGCTAGGACGAGCGTGGGCTGCTGTTTTTGCCTTTTTATGCACCCATGAAGTCTGGAGCAAGCCTCGGCACGTCACCACGCCGCGCTGTATAGCTCTGGCTTCAAGATAGCCCCGACCAACACACGTCAGCAACAGTTGGGAAGGCCAATATGGCGGCCGAGAAGACAACAGGCGTATCGAATATAAACTTCAATCGGACTCAGGGGGGAAAACAGCGCTGAAGTAGGTTATCATTCTTTATTCTACTCTACTTGTCGCGTGTGCGATACGGATCGCACTTGCCGGCAACGGGCTCAGTCGCGTTGTATATCGCACGCACAAAATGCCTCGCGAAGGTCAGCTTCGGCGTCTGCAGTTCGCCTGTGCTTTGTGAACACCTGGACATTGGCCGCCTTTGTCGCCGGCCTTCCGCACGCTTGCTCATCGAGTGCTCGCCTTTCTTCACCGCAGCGATGAGCTCCGCAGGCTGACGATATTGGGCTGAGAGCTCGTCGCTGTGTTGGGAGTCGTCAAAAACACGTTGCGGGTTCTCGTTAAGAGCTTCGTTGTAGTATGTCGCGCGTTGTAAGTGAAGCAGCATGGGCTAACGGGGCCTTTGCTAGAGTAGTAACTCACTGAAAATTGGTCGCCATTACTGTTGGCTTTCCCGTCAGTTGGTCGCAAGCACCTCGGCGCCGTCCATTGGCCGCGGCGGCGTTCTCGCATATGTGCGCTGCACACGCTCGAGTTTGTGGAAAAGGGCCGCATTACCGTCGATTTCTTCGGCACTAGCTTCCAACCAGCTCGGAGCTGTTCGTGGCGGCTGCCAAGCGTACGCTCGCTCTCCTGCTCGAAGTTCGCTGGCGGCAGACACTCCGCGTGCTGCGCCGTGTTTGGTCTCGCGCTCGCTTCCTCGAGCTGAACGACGTCGCTCGCTTAGGACTCGCCTACTTGTTAGCTGCGTGGTAGTTCGCGGAGTTGTAGCTGTGGCTGCCGCTCCTAAGCTGTTGCTGTACGGGGGATCCTAATGAGTCTTTGACGATGTGTGACATCACGGTGAAATTATTAGCGCGTCATATCTCACGTATAATTTAATTTCACCTTGCACGTATTTTTCATATGCATTCGTATTCGTCCTCTGTCCCGTGTGACGCACTATTTTACATACTTATTGTGCAGCCGTGGGCACACACCGTGCTGAAGACTGTGTGCGCTGGCGTCTGCGATGCCTGTCATCCATCTCTTTCATCACAGCAGCTTCAGAAGAACTGTGCGAGATGCGAAGGTAAAGTTATTTGTGTGTCATATTCAATGCTTGTTTTTTATTACCGTGCACGTACTTGTCATACGCGTGCATCTTCATCTTCTGTCACGTGTGTCTAACTAATTTTACTATATTATTGTAACTGCAGCCGTGGGAACACAGCATGCAGAAGGCTGCGTGCGCTGGCGTCTGTATTGCCTGTCATATATTGCTTCCGTCGGAGAAACTCCCCAAGGAGTGAACAAGATTTGACAACGAGACTTGACTTGTACACTGCACCACAAATTCACCAAAAAGAATGGAGAAAGTTCGTGTGTATGTAGAAAAAGAAAAGATTTCGATGTCTCACATTTGTTTTTCGTTGTTCCCGTGACTGCGAAAGCAGTCACATATAGGTGGCTAACTACTTTTTTGCGTGTTCTTTTCTGTGCAATTTGTTGCTCAATGCGCAGAAAAACAGGCGAAAAACTATTAGGCCTGCGAAAAATAAACAAAAAACAATGTTTGAACTGGGGACAAAAAGTTCATTCGATTCGAGTATTTGATTGGATCAACCGTTCGTCCGGCAAGGTGCAACTGTGGGGACTAATGGTAGACCGGTAAGGTGTAAATGTGAGGATTAACAGTTGATCTATAAGGTGCAAATGTGAAGACTAAATGTTAGTTCTTTGATGTGAACTGCACGACTAATGGTCACTCACTAAGGTGTTAATGTCAGGAATAAATGTTAGGCCCTTGAGCTCGTTTGTGGGGACTAACTGTTAGACCTGGGGCCGTTATTCCTTAGAGCGAATAATGGTTGTGGCAGCCCCATTAGTCCCGAAAAGGACAAACCACACACCCTGTTAACACCCTTCTGCCTTAGAGTGCGCTGTCTGTGAGTGCTCAAGAGAAGTAATGCGGCATGACGCGTTAAAGTACGCCGTCCAAGATGGCACGCGCGCGCAATCTTGGAGGTTATGATTAAAGCTTCTCGGTATTAGTGAATAACCCTCACCGAACGATCATTGGACACTCGCCGACGCAGTTATTTTCTTTGACTTTCGCTTGGTGTTAGAGAGTGGCAACTGCTTGTTGAAATTGTGCAGCTTCCACATGCGTAAACATTGTGATAGCACCGGCTTCATCAGTAGAGCTACTGCAGAGAACAGTATACAGCAATGTAACGACGTCGATGGGCGAATTTAGTACCCTATTTCAGCGAAACTGAGACCAGCAGCACGTGTGACGCTGGATCGCTTTCGCAGCTCAAGCTACGATGCTCTGCGTACCTTTGGGCCGGATGAGCAAAAGTGTAGGGAAGTTATTTGGCTTGTGAAAGCTACGCGTGGGAGCGGCAAGGGTTTCGAGCTCGCCTTCTCTCATCCTCGTTTCGCTCCGCTTCAAAGAAAAAAAAACAGTTTTCTCGGGTCGCAATGAACCGATTGAAACAAAAAGTTTTGTGACATAATGCTCCTCATCGGACGCACAACTTCCACGGTCTAACTGAAATTTGTTATGGGGCCTGATGAGTGGCCCTTTAAGCAAGATGGCAGGGGTTATATCTTAGTTTTGCACCCTGCCTGTACTCCAATAAACTTGAAGCCTCGAATCAAACACAGACATTAGTCTGGTACGCCACTACTTAATCCAAGAGCGGCGGCAGTGCATGCAGCCATTTCAGAGAAACGCCATATAGGAGAGCCATGTGACGTTAGGAGTGCCGCCGGTAGTGTAACACAAGCGTAGAATCGCACCAGGCATCACATGAAGTTCACTGCGTGACAAGCGGGGGGGCGTTGAGCTGATCTTTGCCCACAGAAGCGTGACATCAACGCGCAGCTGTGGCGTGACCTACTTGGCATCGCTCCGACACTTGTGTCGGGGGAATACTTTGTGGTGCGTTCGTACGGACGCACGTATGTACCACGTTACGCATATGAGTGAAAGAGCTGCTTCGCATCTACAACACTATTCAAACGATCTGTAGGCGATGTCCAATAATTAAGTATGGTTCCGTAAGAATCTTACGGAAATATATGGAAAATATATAGGAAACATATGTATTATTAGGGAAACATACTAAACTATTGGACATCGCATAAGGGCGTTGAGCCCTGGAATTCTGGGGATTAACAAAAAGTGCTCGCCGCTCTATCGACTGAGCTATTGCAGCAGTCGCTGGAGCCTGTGCAAACGTGCCTTATATCCTTCACAGATTCTCTCTGACTCTGTGAACTCTGTTGGCGATGCCAGACGGTGCTGCACTCTAAGACAAAATTACCCGAAAATAAGTAACAGAGCCCAATCGGCGCGCGCGATAAACAGATAGACCATTGAGGAGCAACCACAGAGGTAAGCGTGCCACGCGAAACCACTTATTCTCCAAACACGCTCCAAAGAGATGAACCGCCCGGGGATTGCAGGCAGCGCGAAAAGCGTTGCCAAGGTGACCAGTCCTCCTTCCCCTCCTCTGCTGGCTCAGTCTTTCGACGGTTCGCGCTGCGTCGCGTTTGGAGTGCCCAACCAAGGCCGCTTGGATGAGCATGGGCTGCTGCTTTTGCGTGTCGCTGCACCCATGAAGTCTGGAGCAAGCCTCGACACGTCACCACGACGCGCTGTATATTTCTGGCTTCAAGATAGTCACGACCAACACACGACAGCAACAGTTGGGAAGACCAATATGGCGGCCGAGAAGACAACAGGCCTATCGGATATATACTTCAGTCCGACTCAGGGGAGAAAACAGCGCTGGATTCTAAGGCAAGTAGGTTATCATTCTTTATTCTACTCTACCTGTCGCGTGTGCGATACGGATTGCACTTGCCGGCAATGGGCTCGGTCGTGTTGTATATCGCACGCACAAAATGCAACGCGAAGGTCAGCTTTGGCGTCTGCAGTTCGCCTGTGCTTTGCGACCGCCTGGACGTTGGCCGCCATTGCCGCCGGCCTCCCGCACGATTGCTCATTGTGTGCTCGCCTTTCTTCACCGCCGCGATGAGCTCGGAGGGCTGACGATATTGGGCTGAGACATCGTCGCTGTGTTGGGACTCGTCGAAAACACGTTGCGGGTTCTCGTTAAGGCCTTGGTTGTAGTGTGTCGCGCGTTGTAAGTGCACCAGCACGGGTTGGCAGGCTTTCGCTAGCATCGGAACTTACTGAAAATTGGTCGCCATTACAGTTGACTTTCCCGTCAGTTAATAGCAAGCAGCTTGGCGCCGTCCGTTGGCCGCGGCGGCGTTCTCGCGTATGTGCGCTGCACACGCTCGAGTTTGTGGAAAACGGCCGCATTACCGTCAATTTCTCGGCGCTAGCTTCCAACCATCTCGGCGCAGTTTGTGGCGGCAGCCAAGCGTACGCTCGCTCTCCTGTTTCAAAGTTCGCTGGCGGCAGACACTCCGCGTGCAGCGCCGTGTTTGCTCTCGCGTTCACTTCCTCGAGCTGAACGACGTCGCCTGCTTAGGACTCGCTGACTTGTTAGCTGCATGGTGGTTCGCGGAGTTGTTGCTGCGGCCGCCGCTCCTAAGCTGTTGCGCTACGAGGATCCAAATGAGTCTTTGACGATGTGTGACATCACGGTGAAATTATTAGCAATCATATCTTACGTATGTTTTCATTTCACCTTGCACGTATTTCACATATGCATTTGTATTCATTTTCTGTAACGTGTGAATCACTATTTTACATACTTATTGTGCAACCGTAGGCACACACGGTCTAACTGAAATTTGTTATGGGGCCTGATGAGTGGCCCTTTAAGCAAGATGGCAGGGGTTATATCTTAGTTTTGCACCTGCCTGTACTCCAATAAACTTGAAGCCTCGAATCAAACACAGACATTAGTCTGGTACGCCACTACTTAATCCAAGAGCGGCGGCAGTGCATGCAGCCATTTCAGAGAAACGCCATATAGGAGAGCCATGTGACGTTAGGAGTGCCGCCGGTAGTGTAACACAAGCGTAGAATCGCACCAGGCATCACATGAAGTTCACTGCGTGACAAGCGGGGGGGCGTTGAGCTGATCTTTCACTAGAGAGGACCAAGCCGTGATTCGTCAGTGACCGCACAATCTACATTCGCATCTACGTAGTGCACACACTCTATTGTGTTACAGATGAACAATGGGTAATTAGCAATATACGTTCAGGATCACAAATAACTTACTCTAATACTGCTCGAAATGTGTGCACGCTGAAAAACTGTAGGAGGTTACAAAACGAGAAGAAACATATACTCTGCCCCCTCCCACCCGAACTCATAAGCTGTGATTCATTTCATTTGAACTAATAGATTCATTTGAACTCATAAGCTGTGCTAGGACGGTTTATTCTCTAACCACGAGTAACCATTAGCAGTCATAATTAATGCGGTCTATCTATCTATCTATCTATCTATCTATCTATCTATCTATCTATCTATCTATCTATCTATCTATCTATCTATCTATCTATCTATCTATCTATCTATCTATTTATCTGTCTATCTATCTATCAGCCTATGCCAGGATACTTTCGTGATCACCCCTTCTTCATCTTGTGACAAACCGAAATAAGCATGGAAGTGAAAGAGAGTTTGACGAATATCGCTCTTTCGGCTACGGATATGAGGCACATACCGATATACCATGGGCGAATGTCCTAGAAGTGACTTACAGTTTAAATCTACCTTGAAACGGTGATAAAAACATTGGTAATTTTTATCCGAGAGCATTAAAAAAGGCAGACATTGGCAGCGTGGTCGCGAAAAATCAATGTCTAAGTTCCTGCAATAATCAAACGCGAGAATTCTGCTCGGCAACATGATATTTTGCCACAAAGCTACGCGAAATCTCGGACCTCATTTTCAAATAGACCGTATCGTTTATAAAACTTGGCTTGTACTAATAGCGCTGGATATCGAACGTTATAAACAATACATATGTACTCCCACGATACGGTGGTCTCGTCGGGTTCACGTCAATTGTATCGTAGCGCCATCGACTGAAATTCGTTTGTGCATAAGTGTTCAGAGCTACTGGACTAGAGGGCACAAGCGCTACAATTCAGTTTGCCGCTTCTTGTCTTCCTAATAACCGTGTTGGTGTTGCCTTCGTTAAGCAACTGTGAATACCTGGGTATATGAAACGTATGCGACTGTTCAACACATGTCCGTGCGTAAAATTGTACATTATTACATAACGTCATTTCGTAACGTTTCGCTCAATAGAAAGTATAACGCGGACACCTTCCTTTCGCGTGCTTCGCATAACATTGATTCCTAAGGTGCATAGTATCTGCTGAATGTTCTTTCCTTCTTATTTCTTTTCGTTTTCCGCTGTTTCATTTTCCGTGTTTATTTTGTTTTTGTTCTTGCTGTCTCTTGCGTTATTTCTTTCTGCTTCGGCATCTTTCTATTTATTCCCGTTTTTACCTTTCTCTTTCTTAACATATCGCGCTTGCTTTTTATTTTTTCTTACAATGCTACACATTTTTCATCATGAATGCGCTCGAAGAACAAAGGAAGAAGGCTTCTCCTTAGCTCGAGTGCGCACTCAGATGAACAGGCTATTTGTGGTTTCGCCTCCATTTGGCCAAGTGTCAATGACAGCATACAGTAAGATCATACGACAGCATACGACAACCAAGCCTCTGTCTAAGGTACTGAGCGGCTGAGCCGCAGGTCGTGGGATCGAATCCTGGCTACGGCAGCTGCAAGTTTGATGAAGGCGAAGATTCTGTAGGCTCGTGTTCTCATATTTGGGTGCACGTCAAAGAAGCACAGGTGGCTGAATTTCCGGAGCGCTCCACTACGGCGTCTCTCATAATCATATGGTGGTTTTGGAAAACCCCAGATATCAATCGAAAACCCAGCCTCTGGAAGTCCTCAGTACATAATACGACGCAGATCGTGAAAGGAATTCCATTTCCCTTGTTAAAATGTCGATCTTGCTTAAAAGTGAAGTCAGAAATTTCTCCGAAATTTCCCATTAAGTACAAGTTTCTCTCTCTGAAACTTGCAACGCGAGTGTCATCGTCATAAAACACGCGATAGATGCTTCTTATCTCGGAAATAGTCAATGCTTTTGAATGGGAGAGCGACGGCTGTGTGCCGAAGTCTGTATTTATTTTTAGGACGTAAACTATAGCGCTCACTGTATGCTCTCTGTGGCCACCCTTCCACTTTATAGTAGGACCAATGTGCGTGCACAAAAAGGCTATTCTTGGCTACTATAAATAGGCAACGCCGGCATGGCCAACGTTTATAGAACGCGGTCTAGTAACGTTGGGCACGGCTAGGTCAGGCTAGATGGTTAACAAGCCTGAATCGTAATATTCTCGAACTTTTCACTTTTCATTGGGAAGTGCTCCTGTTCCAGTTTTTTCATTCTTTGGTGTCCTGTTGCGCTCTCACGATGGTTTTTATGCCAAAACATGACCTCGCTTAACAGAGAAAATTTTACTAATTTTACTAGAATTCACAGCAGGATACTGTCTCCTGAATCTAGCTTGGTGCAAACGTTAATTAGGCACGAGTCTGTTCTGTGATCTCGTTAAAATTACCTTCGCGAAATTTTCGCATAATGCTTTGAACAGACTCATCGTTCTTCAGTTCTTCAAGTCTTCTACAACTTCATTTTTCTGTGCTGCTGAAACATTGGCGCCTTTCTCACTCGCTTGCATGAGCCTATTTACATATGATTAAGGCCGTTATGTATAATGCTTAGAAGAGCATCATAAGCTTCAAAAGCGTTAAATGTTTTCCATCTTCGTATGCAGACGTCGTTATGCTCTGACACTTGTCAACAGGGCACGCGTTGCAGGGTCTTTATGACCTGACTGATAGTTTCCCATGAATTCTCGGCGTCGTGTTCTGCAATGTATTCACACAATACAGAATTTTATTAGGCCTACTGTACAGCTAAAGTATAAGTTGTAGGTCACTTTCACAGATATGAATATATTATAAAATTGTGCAGCTTATTTTCCCTATATGCATCATTGACGTTCGCATGCAAATTAATCTCTTCAATTGTATTGATGCTGGCATTGCTTTCCTTTGGGCCACTTTCTAGTTGAGTTTATTTTTGATAATGTGTGATTATTTCTTATGAAAGAATTCATCTTCATTAGAAAATGAGTATGCGTGCACAGCGACTAGGCTTCTGCGTTCTTTCAATGAGCTTAATTTCAACAAATTAAAAAGGAAATGTAAAAAAGTAATATTGCTGTAGATACTGAATGTACAGAAGTTTAGGAAATTACCCTCAGGGCCTTCGTCTCCAGTCCACATCTTATCTTCTTCTTTGAAGATCCATTTCTTCTCGTGACTTGCAGGTGCCCTGTTAATGTATCACCAGTAAGTATGAGTCATTTAACGAACAAGAAACTTGTCTTACTTTCGTTTAGTGCTATCGATGTAGACCCATGAAAACACCGTCACACCAGTGTCACTTATGTCCTGCTGTTGGTACCATTTACATGGATTAAAAGTACCATAGGTCGTCCGGATAACCAATAAAGCGGAAGTTTCGGTCAAAAACTGTAAAAGAAAAATCATGAGTTACGTTGGAGTTTCTTTAGTCAAACCTTAAAATAATGAAGACACCCGAATACAGGGCCTTTTTTCAGTAACAATATCGACATAACCAGAGCTTCATCATTATAGCCACTCGGAAATAAGATGGAAAATTTCAGCTCTGAGGAGAGTTGAGATTGTGAACCGCAGAACCTGTCCACGCTTTAAACGCTTTTAAAGCTTTAAACGCTTTTAAAGCTTAAACAATTTAAAAAAGAACATTCCCACAAGTTTCCGGTTGATGTATGTTTATCTGCTCACCAACAACACGGTAACGAGTGAATTAGTGAAAGTAATCAAAAAGAACACTGAACACTTTACTAAAAGCTACATAAAGAGCCATAGAATTAGTTAAACATGAAAGAAAAGCCGTGCAATGTTGCTGGAAACTCGGAAATATGATGGAAAATTCCAGCTCTGAGGATAGTTGAGATCGTTAACCGCAAAACCTGTCCATGCTTTAAACGCTTTTAACATTGAGGCTATGCCAGTGTGTTGAGCACGCGCTGGAGTGACGGACTCCGGGACGAGACGTCCTTTCAGTAAGAACGATTATTCTGTATCTGCTTAGTCGCGACCCAAGCGAGCAAGGAATGAAAGAGAGGAAAAAGAAAAGCCTACGCGGTATATTATTTAGCGCATTCGCAAACGCGGTTTGCAGCAAATAACGCTTAAAACAGGCTTCACTCCATGGAGCTCTTGTGTACTCGGCTAATCAACGGACATTACTTATGATAATCAATACTACTGAACAATATCAAAGATGCACCATGGTAATTGAGTATGTGCCAGCAGCAAGAATGCAAATAGCAAGGCAGCATCAGCAAGCAGCAGTCCCAGAAGAGCACTTAGCCAGTTTGGTTGTGTAGTAAACGAATATTCGTGTATAATCTTTATTGTACGCCATGGCCAGTGGCATATGCAATACGTCATGCATGCAACTGCGCAATGCATTTTGTCGTGGAGCACATAGCCGAGGACGACATAGAACATATCGTTCTGTTTTGTACTCAGGTTATTTATTGTGCACGAGGTGATCAACTTTAGGGAGTAAAATTTATTCGAAGGTTTTTGATTGCCTCAAATATACTAAAAAACGTCTTTGTAAGGTACAATATTGACAGTCGCACGAAGCGCCCCCCACTGGATATATTCTGATTGTATAAGCTACTTTAGAGACGAGCTTATGTCATTGTGCGCGGCCTACAATACAAAAAGGGTGAACGAAACGAGGCAGACGAGCGCAGATTGTCAATTGATTTTTTGAAAACATGCTAAATATAGTCAACACCAAAGGCAATATTTAGCTTGAATTATGTTTTCAATAAATCATTCGTTGATCCGCACTCGTGTGTCTGTTTCGTTGTTTCTTGGCGTCCCGCCTGCGGCTCAGTATCATGAACAATGAAGCCTAACCGATTTGCCTAGCTTCGAATGCTTGTTGCAGATTGGCTATGTCTTAGCTGTCTGTAATTACAGATAACTTAAAAACACATGCATGTAGAAGGGTCTAAACTCATTCTAGTCATTGTTTAAAATATGCTAAAGTACAGGATGGTGCCTCGACCAAATGCATATCTTGGGCGTATTCAACGGAGCAAGTCTACTGTTTTTTCCCAATGTGTAATGGCTTATTCGGTAAGAAAAATTGACCATTATGGTAACTAACAAAGCTGGGCAAAGACAATCTACCCACAAAGTGGCAGATTGCTTTGCAAAACGTGTGACTTTACAGGTCCTGAACTTACTAACTTAGATATAAATTTTCTTCCATCACTGTTTTTTCGCATACTGCGATCATGGTGTGGTAAGAGTTGCGCCTCTCGGCTGCAGACTTCAAAGTCGTGGGTTCGATGCCAGCACTGGCAGTCGCATTTCGATGTTGGGGAAATGCTAGAGGTTCGTGTACTGCACAATGAGAGTGAAGGTAAAACGATACCAGATGGTAAAAATTTGCGGACTCCCGCCATAGGGCGTTCTTCACAATAGTAACAAACGCTGGGGTTTTGCTTCGCAAAACCACGATATGGTTACGACAGGCACCTTAGTGGAGGGTTCGTAAGTTTTGACCATCCGGTGTTCTTGAACGTGCGCTAACATGGAACAGTTCTCCGGCGTAAATCATATCGCCTCTACCGAAATGTGACCGCCAAGGCTGGGATCGAACCAGCGATCTTTGCGTCAGCAGCGGAGCACCTTAACCACTTTTCCTTAGTGGCGAACGGCATCCTTCAAAACTATATTGCGTTTTTTAAAGGAAAACCTGAACTGCCACAAAGCCGAATAAGCTTTAATGACACTATTCACAACAATACACCAGACATTGTGATAAAGAACGACGGCATCTACTTTTGTGTGCATTTTTTGGTACCATCCGCAACTCTGACCGTAAAGTTTGTGAGACGGTATTCAGACGTTCCACGCTTTTAGCTTCCAACCTTCCATCAAGTTTAAGTGTATAGATAAGAGAAATATATCTTTATTATAAATACGCCGCTTATACGATGCACGAGTGCCATGATATCAAATAAGTGATTGAATCCGCCTACAGTGCGCTGAGAATCCTTCTCCACACTCACGGCACGCGCCGCTATGCAACCTGCACCCCATTCACACCGTCAGAAAAAGAGTCGGCAGCGTTTCTTTCGAGGAAGCGAGAGGAGGAGCAACCTTCCTTCCGAAACGATTAGAAGAGTGGCCTGCAAAGCACGCGTTGACGAAGCGCTGCTGGAGCCATGGTCAGTGATTAACGTATATGCATCGTGTCTGAATTACCTGCATTATGGAGATGTTTCGTAAACGTCCATTTGTCTCGGTGTTGACGCGGTAAAAATGCTTAAACGTGTCGCTGGCGGCGCCAAGAGCGATGACTCCAACGACGTTGTTGAGCAGCCTATCAAGGTACTCTCATAGTAGAAGACCGACAAGATCATGCTGTCTTTCCCGGACTTTATTTTCACGAAGCAGCTCCCTCTCAGCTGCGTGGAACTCCTTGATGCTCTTCGGAATGATGTGCATAATAGCAATCAAACCTGAGAGACATTGGCTTTTCCGCAACAGTACATAGCTGCACTGCCTTACCTGCACGCGAATTAACTTTTTTATCTGTCTTTCTTCTTTCTTTTCTCAACACGCTCATTACTATTCTCAGTTCTAATGATGGGATTATGTTGGTACTAGAATACTGTTATAAGTGGACAGCACTTCATACTACAAGAGCCAGCTAAATATAGAAACGTAACACGTAACATGCACCCTTACTCTTCAGTAGTGCACTTGGTACAAGCTATATTAGAAGCCTAAATCTTTCTAAAGTCTAAATAATGTAGGACGCTAAACGTTATTCGCCGCGATTTGTACACAGATATTCTGTCAGAATATAATAAACACGGTTTACAGTTATCAGTGCTGCACGAAGGGCTTTCATAAGTTTGACTACCTCGATCGCTGTTCTCATCATCTGCATTTATCTCTAACATTTTACATTACACCAATGTGGGGTCTCGTCGATGTACCTCCTCGTTCAGTTTCATTGGCGAACTCACGATGCGTGAAGTAAACAAAGAAAGAAGACAAGATACAGATATCATTCTGCACAATGTATTCAGCCTCAGGCTACGAATATTACTCACATTACAGGGACATGTACATACATTTTGTGGAGAAGGGAAACCTGAGCTTGTTTGTGGTAGTTGTTTTTCGAACACATTACAACGCTAAAAGGACGAGGAAGTTCAAAGAAGGTATCAACATGAGCGCTCGAGTCGTTCCCGCCTTAGAGTTTCGTCTTCTTTTTAGTGCTTTAAAGATGTTGAAAAAAGCAAGTTTACGGACACATAAATGTAGATTTCTGCCATGACTGCCACAAGGACTGTTGCAGCGATAAAGAAGGGAACGGCAAAAAGATCGCCTAACTTTAAGCGTCTCTACATTGAAATGAATTTAGAGTAACGCCTTCGAGACAGACTTATATATGACTTCAGATAATGTCATAAAGTTGTCTCTATACAGTGCTGCAATACTCGGGGCTCTTAATTGCACAAATCAGGTATAAAAATTGTGATGTTCTTGCAGTCGGCAAATCTATGGGATGCCTCATGGCAGCCTTTCAAATTGTCACGAGAATAATTACCTTTCCTAAATTACTACGGAATGCTTCTTCATTTCTTCCAAAACATCATCTCAGAAGTGTATGCCTTAAGTAACCAAGGCCCACTGAATGACTAGAAAACAAGTTTAGAATTTCTTTTAGTATTGTAATAGACACTGCTACACCAAAGCTCAGTAGTCTGGCTTTCTTCGAGTGCACTTGGAGTTGAAGTACTCACTCTCGTCCCTACAGTGCCCCCCATTGCCTTCCTGCCTTCCGTGCAATAATACCAGACGATTTACTAGACTTTGCTCCTAGGTAGTGTAGGTTGCTTCGGGAAGTATATTTTTGTGGGTGTATAATAACTCCTAGTAATGGTAACAAGGTACTGCCATGCATAATACATGAACAAAGCGCAAAGTTTGTTTACATAGGAGAAGGTATGGCAGTAAAAAATGACTCTGCTTGCTCGGATTCTACAGATCTTAACAACAAGATACCTTGAACAGACCTATCCTTCAACACACGCACCAATTTTTAAATGCGATTAAGTTTGCAGTCTGTGGCTCTTCAATGAGTTAAAGTTCGGCATGCGCCACACCGTAAGTGCGGTAATATTCTCGTAGGTTTCAACGTGATCCACTGAGAACGCATACGCGACGCACAGATTGTATGTGAAATTTTCGCTTATGCCGGCGGTGACTGTTTAATTGTACTATAGAGCATACATAAAAATTTTGCTATGGCCGAAATCTGCGATTCACAGTAACACACTTGCGTTGGTTTTAGAAGCCTATGATTTAAGCCGCCTGCCCCGTCTCCGTGCAACGAGCGACAAGTCTGGCGACCCAGCTTCGCTGACAGAGTGCCGGATCTTTTTACAGTTTGATGTTTCCGTGTATACATGCTGCAAAGTAACGTGTTTATTTTTAATGCAGTCAATTATTATGCCAAAGGGTTGAATTCCTAAATAAAAAATGATAGCATGATAATCAAGTCAGATCATGGGGATAGATGACTTTGCACGGCATAACTGTGTCTAGATCGTTTCGACGGCCAAAGTTTAGCACAACGACAAGCTTAATATTGGTTTATCCAACTGCTGCGTTCTTGATCATGATGTCTGGTGGACGTGCTTTTAAATGCACGCAACCGACAGCATCTTACTTGTCCGTAGCTTCTCTCTGGCAAACACTGAGACGTCTTTTCGACGGCGTGGCGGTCAATCTTATTGAGTGGCTAGACAAGCCACAAAGTTGCAGTGCTGTTTGGAGATCTTTGTTTTCACACCGTTCCGACTTAAAAGTTATATTGCCCTTTTCGCCATATTTTCATGAGCTTGGATAACCAATCTCTTACGTGTGGGGTCACACAAAATGTATGGGTCAAACATATGCCTATGAGTGCAGCCTCAACTGAAATACTTGTCATGTACTCACACAACCTTACAATGAGTATAAAGGCGCACTTGGGTCATAATTTCAGCACCATATTTGAATAATAGTGACAGCGTAGTTGCAGCATTCGCTGTTGGCTTTCGCGGTATCCGTCCATCTCGCGCCCTATCATGCTGTATTGCAGTTTCACTACCTTCATGCAATGCACCTTGAGGTTCGGCTTGCTGGGGAAAGCCCCCCAGCAATTGCGGCTTATTCATGAAATAATTTCCGCACAGTTGCCAAGCTCTATGAGTGTTCCGGCAAAAAAAGAACGGTACAGTACGCCTATAGAAATCCTACTAGCAACAGCAAATAAAAGGAGAGAAATTGCTAGGCCGGAATCACGCAAAAAGCAGGAAGGGCTAATAAAGGCAAAATTGACACCTATGGATATCTAAGTGTAAAGCTACACAAATACTTGCTAATTTCTTATACAAAAAATTTTCCTGACTGACAAAAAAAATGTCCCATTCCGAGGTCAAATTTTGAAAAAAAACAGAGTTGTGTTAACCAAATTATTTCTAGTGTGCTAGATTTTAAAAATCCACTGTAATTAATCGCAATATTGCACTTCCTTACCATTATAATACTTAGACTGAAAGAAATAAAAATATTACCTCTTTGATACCATACAATTTTGAGCCTGCAGCCACACTAAATTGTTTTTGAGCAGCAATAAGCGCTAATGCAACTACTGTGGCTCTAAGAACTGCAGCCATACTAGCTTGTGGAACGACAGAATATGAAACGAAACAAATCCGCCACCTTATATATCTCACTCTGGTCTAGAGAGAGCGTTCTTTCTTGAAAACATCTGCGCCACTCTCGTGATATATTATGCCTAATGAACTAAGTTCGAACCGTCATCTTTCCTGTTGTGACAGTTGAAGCTGATAAAATGAGGAGCACCTGTTGTGCGCAGACGCATACGCTGACATTTCACCTCGCTTGGGTCTAATAAATATACATACTTGTATACATAAAATACATACAATATTGGAGTGATTTCAAAGGAATATCGTCTAGGTCTTTCAGAAAATTATCTAAACCACATAACAGTTGACACACTGGGACGACTGAAGTATAAGAAAAATGCCCAACATAATGATTACAATTTACTGGTAATATAAAGTCAGGGCTGCTTTGCCAACAGCGAGCTTGCATACCCTTCACCATTGTGAATTAGGAATTTCTGTAAAGTACGTTGTGGCGAAACGTTTCGCTCGAGGCCCTCTCTGAAATCTCAATGTGATGTGCAAAAGTTACTGGAAAAGTGACGTTACCATCGTTACTAAACCTTGCCTTTGATTAGGTTTTGCCATAACCGGTCGTTAAGACATGATTTCTATAACAGACAAATATTCCTTGAGGTCTTCTTTATAAAAATAACGTTTTGTTTTTGTTAGCGCAAGTCCTCACTTGCCACGTACAGTGAACTCTCACTTGAGTGAGCCTAAGAGACTAAAGTAAAAAGTTCACGTTAATCAAAGCTCAATACACTGAATAATTATTCGAATACGGAACAGCGATTGGCAAAGCAGGTATCAAGTCCAAATGTGAAATGTAATTTATTTCTCTAAAATTGTGTACTTTTATTTGGACTGGTAACCCCAAAGCGTAAGAAGAGGCAAATCTCTAAAGAGAGGACGTTTCTGTGCACTGCCTCTGGCATAGCTTGTTGCCGTTTTACAAAGTCTTGGAAATTTCTAATACGTATAATCAATAACCTGTGCTGGAGACACACGATTTTATCCTGACTCAGCCTTTATGATTTCTTTTTTACACTCATCTTGCTTTGGTTTCAGGCGACCACTAGAAAAATTTTCTAAATATGGTAGACCTGCACAGGTATGGAAGCACACGTTGCTCGTTCTCGTCTCCAGCACGGCCAAATTACATCGGCACCGCTGCATGCACAAGCAATGCTGCACAGTCTCCGTTGTTTGGGTGAAGTTCGGGCGCCACGCATCGGTTCCACCAGTGCTGCAGAGCACGAACGTTCCTGAATTGACTTGAAACATTGACGCAGGACCACCAACCAAGTTCGTTCAACTGAAATATATACTCCTCGGAAGTTCATTTAACTGAAAGATGTTTGCATATTATTCATAGAAATGAAGAAGAGAACTTTTCAAAGGTTTTTCAATCTGAAACCTTCACAACACTCACGTTTATACAAGTCAGAGTTCACTGCATATAAAGCTCCTAAACTGGACACGATAACGCTTTCATTGTGACCAGTATACAGACTCTATTTGGACTCGGGCATTTTTGGAGGCATCATAATGTTAACGCATAAATTTGGTTTTAATTATGTGTGGCAACTATCTACCCACAAAAAAACAGACATATGCGTTCGAAAAACAACCTCAGTCTGTACAGAAGAAAGCCGAGAATAGTGTACAGGTGCAATCAGTTTATGCAATGACGGGAACCTCAGTGGTATTCTTGTTTGAAATGCATGGAGTCTCTGCATGCACACTACGTAACTTATTGCCACGTGTGGTTGGAGCAAGCTGAATTAAGAGGAGGAGGAGCACACAATATAGGCGAGCAGATGGCAGGAAGACGAAGATGTGAAGCTAAGGCGACGGTGCCATGTTTCTGTCTGAAATACAGTGTTCTTTTCTTGTGTTGACGTCGTGTGATTCTGTACGTTTCATTTGGGGCCAGCGGTGGCATGAGAAGAATAGACGGACTCAAGGACAAACTGGCGAGCTCGATGAGAGAGGCACTGGAGGAGCCAGACCACAGGCAGCTATGCAGGTTCGAAAAGTTTCTCCGCGTCGTTTTGGGAGATGCGGGACAGCGTACTGCCGAGAACACGAGTCAAACCACAATGGCTCCAAAACATGCGAGCGTTGAGATACACAGGATTGTTTATGGAAACACTGACCTGTGTGAGCGACGCGACACAGACACCGAAGCTCGCGTGGCAGTGCGTACAAATAAAAAGAGAGCTTGTGGGCTAGTGCCTACGCTTTTGCTGGACAGCTGTGCTGTCAGTGCCCGGACTGATCAATGTCATCAAAAGGAGAGACAGTGACAAAAAATAATCAGCCAAAATTCGTATTTCAGCGTCTACTCAACAGCTCTTCATCGAGTCGGTGAAAACAACCCCAGTCATGTCCCCAGTCAAGTTACAAGTTGCAGCTCCTGAGACGGGCTGCTAGAAACTACTGTGACTGCACGTACCAACAAGGCTAACCCGCTGAACTCTGAGCCTGTGGACGAGAATTTTCGTGGTTTAACAAAGTGCCAGCAGGATGTTTGTAGGAACGGTAAGCTCTTTAAAGTACGTCACTTGTTCCAACCTAAACCACAGTGCTACGAATCCTTCGTCCGAAAGCCTTTGACAGAGACATACTGCAATGAATGACAGCTGGATTCGCGCATTGAGTACACGAATGCACAGAGCCTCAAGGAGGAGCCTGCCAAGGAGCCATGAAAGGCGCTGACAGAAAACCTAGTGAAGGAGCACGCGAAGAACGCAGAACTGAAAAAGTCTGATGTCAGTGATGGTTCTGAGCTAGAATACGTCTTGGCAGGGGAACCCGTTAACTTTTCTGGCATCATGAACAATGCACTATGACACAACTCAGACAAGCAAATAACTCAAGATACTGTCGAGAGCATGTAGTGGGTTTCTGGCTGTTGCGTGGCTAGTGCCATCTTTACTTGTGGCGTCGAAGGATTTGGTCAGCAGAAAAGACGACGACGAACTCGCGCTGCTCGATCGAAGCTGTTCTGCTGTTGCACTGTTACTTGAACTGATTTTATTACCGTGACCAACTGATGGAGTTGCTGGGTACAATCCCAATTCGCTAATTTTAACTCAAGCCGCTTCAAGTTTCTGCCGTCATTTCAACAATTCCGGAGGAAAACCTGGCACTTCGCCTCAGCCGACGCTTGCTAGGACTACCTCCTGAATTTGGTCCCTTGAGCGGGGCGAGAATGACCGCCACAACGGCAAGCCAGACGGAAGAGAGCAACGTAGACCAACTCGCATCCACCCCAAGCGTCGTCTACACAGCACGCCCCTTGAAGCCGTTTCATGATGATGTATTCGAGGACGTAGCTGACTGGCTAGACCACTTTGATCGGGTCACAGCCACCAACGAATGGAACGACACAAAGAAGCTTCGCTACGTCTATTTTGCACTTGAATACTACGCTTGCATCTGGTATCAGACCAATGAGCCGTCTATCACCAACTGGCAAGAACTTCAGCGACAGCTATGCCAGACATTCAGAAATCCCGAAACGAAAGAAAAGGCCGAGCAGGCTCTTCAGAGCCGGGTTCAGAAGTCAAATGAAAACGTGGCTATGTTTGTCGAAGACATGTCACGCTTTTTTAAGCGCGCTGACCTAGAGATGGACGAAACAAAAAAAGTTCGACTCCTCTTGCGGGTGGTCGAGGAGCAATTTTTTGCTGGACTCATACGCAAGCCCCCAACCACTGTCGATGAGTTCATCGCGGAAGCTACTACCATGGAACGGGTACTTCAGCAACGCTCTCTACAGCACGACCGCCAAGCTTCTGTTGCCGCGGTGTCACCTTTCACCTGTGGACAGGACTTATCAGCACTCCGCAAGCTTGTGTGGAGCGTGGTCCGGGAGGAGCTCGAAAAATTCCATCCCACTTTTGCTCACCCATGTGCGACGATTGTGGAAGACATTATTCGCGATAAACTCAAAAATCTGACCCAACCATTGCTCCCAATGCGTACGGAAGCTCCTGCTCTGTGTTACGCCGAAGAATTGAGGAGTCCTCAACCTTCTACCGGTTGCCAGCCACCCTCTACTTTCTCACATTCGGCCCGTCGATTCGCACCTGCAAACAACTACGAGAGCACTTTCCAGTATGACGTTCCGCGTAAGTTACCCGTAAGTTACGGGAAGTTACCCGTAAATCTGACGTATGGCGCACCTCTGAAAACAGGCCTCTTTGATACAACTGTGGCGAAGCGGATCATCTGTACCACCAGTGTGCGTATCGCAGGACGGGCCTTCAGGGGTTTCACCCGAACGCGCGTCGACCCAGCAACGGGGAGCGTCCTCGCGAGATTTAGCAATACCTAGCAGCGCAGCAGCCGCTTTCTCCTGCATAAAGTCACCGGACACGCTCACCTTCTCTTCAGCACCTCGGCTCGCTTAGTCGTTACGCCACGTTCTCTGGTGTACGAAACAGGTTTCCAAGTCAAGGCCCACGCCAGGAAAACTGAAGCCAGCGACCTCTGGGGGTAGGGCGGCTGTTGATGAAACTGACAAACATTCTCCGCCACGACACGTTGACGACGCCAAAATTTCTGTCACGAAATTTTCTTAACGTGATGCAGCAATTATCGCCGATATTTCTATAACCGTCGACAATCACTTGACCACCACACTCGTGGATACTGGCGCCAATTACTCCGTTATGAGTGGTGACTGCGCGGCGTCTCTCCGAAAAGTGGTGACGCCATGGAACGGCCCGCAGCTCCGTACCGCGGGTAGTCATCTAGTGGCACCGGTTGGGAGGCGGATTGCCCGAGTACATAATGGCGCTTCAATAATTATCGGAACTTTCGTCGTACTGCAGGAATGCTCCAGGCACGTAATCTAGGGATTATACTTCCTTCGAGATTATGGGGCTATTATAAATCTCCGAGAATCGCTGGTGATGTTTTCACGTAACGAACATTCTCAGGATTGTGAATCGCTCATGTTGGCGTTGCGTGTATCCGA